CCACCACTTTTACTATAAACTTAGAAACTTTTTATTGAAGTATTTTAACATTAAACTCCCCAAATTGTATAGCTGAGGAGAGGGAAAGAGAACATATAAAAATTTCTTAACCAGTATCAACTGATTCATATTAATAAAGGATTAAATACGAATAACATAAGTGGCTATAAAAATTATCGGTTCATCTAAGGCTGAATAACCTTTCTGAATAACGGAAACCACAAGCCTTTAAGTCGAATCCTTAGACTTCACTGTGTATTGCCTCATGCTTCTTTTTTATACCTTTAAGACTTCAGTTTCTCCTAACCACTATTTTTAATTTTTATTACAGTATCATTTCTTAAAAGATAATTAATAAAGTTCACTTTAAACATAAGCTTAAGGGACTTCCCTGGTGGTCCAGTGATTAAGACTCCATCTACTGCAGGGCGTGTGGGTTTGATCCCCGATTGGGGTACTGAGATTCCCACATGCTCTGAGGTGTGGCCAACAAATAAAAATAAACTTCAGTTCGCTAACTGATACCTGTAACCACTAATCTGATAACGAGAACAATCTTCTACAATTGGTCCTGACCAGAGGTATACTTCCTGTATCTCCTGTAAATTACTAAATAAATTTACTATTTACTAAACAATTTTTACTAAAATTTACTAAATAAAAAATCTCCCTGAATTTTAAGGTCTGGCAAACAGAGACTTTACCAAAATCTCTGAGTCTTTTTTGTAAATCATCCTTAGTTTTAATCTGTTCCATTCTTTTGGAATGGTCGTCTGATTTTACTGATCTTTGGCGATGGTATAAGGTCATCAGTTCAGATTCCCCCTTCCTCCATATTATGTATTATGATACATAAATAGCTTGACACTTGCTATCCTGTCATGGTGGCTTAGTCGCTAAGTCGTGTCTGACTCTTGGGATCCATGGACTATAGCCCGCCAGGCTCCTCTGTCCATGGAATTTTTCCAGGCAAGAATACTGGAGTGGTTTATCATTTCCTTCTCCAGGGGATCTTCTCCACCCAGGGATCGAACCTGGGTCTCCTGAACTACAGAGAGATTCTTTACCGACTGTGCTGCCAGGGAAGCTCCTGTCATGGTTCAAACTTCAAGGCATAATTACTTCCCAGGCAGGTTAACTAACACCTGGGTGTCTGACAGTGGAATAGGGTTCTAAGAAAATGAAACTACAAGCCACGTGGTTCTTGGTCCCTAGTCACACCTGTAAAGTTAGCCGTCAGCAAAGTGGAAAACAGGATGTATTACATAAACTGTCTTTTTTCTTATTCCAGATAAGTCCACTCATAAGATCTAACACTTTCAAAGGGGAAAGGAAATGAACACATCTTAGACATCTGATCCTGGCCAAAACTTTCCTGGATCTACACTCATTTAATTCAACAAAACAAAAACAATAACAACTCTGTTGAGTAGTAATTACTCTCCTTATACATATTAAGAAATCTGTCCAAAGTAACTCTGCCAGTAAGTACAGAAGCCAGGGTTTGAACCAAGGAGGTTCAGATTTTACAAAGTCAGTATTTTCAGTGCTCACAGGATCTTAAGGCTAAAGCACTGAGTAGTACCATGTAGAGCATTCAGTACAATTCCTCTATTACAGATAAGGAAACTGAGGCCCCAAAAGATTGAGACTTGCCCAAGGACACACTCTTGTGGTGAGGTTAGGATCTGAATTCACATCTCCTGATTTCTAGCACAGTTCTGTGCTTAATTATGCGTGTGTGTGTGTGTGTGTGTGTGTGTTGAGGGGCAGTTTGAGTGTCACTCTTGAAATAATTTATATGTAATTTAGAACATCCCAAACATCTCCAAATAAAATACATATGTGTGGCAGGTTAGGGATGTATATTTTTAGTGAACAAATACAGTATAAAAGCTCAATAGGCATTTGTAAATTATTAATGTTGTAAAGAAGTCTGTTGTCAATATATTTATTTATTCAGTGAATAACTCTATTATGTACTGGCTGCTATGCCTGGCAATGAGAACATAACTATATAAGATAAAACCCCTAGTGTTCTCATGAAATTTACATCTTGGTGGAAGATACAGACAAATAAATAGGCAATCGCCAATGCACTGAGTCAATGCTCTGACAGTAGGGGCACAAGATGTTATGGGAAAAGGAAGCAAGGGCACCTGACCCAGACTAGACTTTTCAAAGGAACTGATATGAAAAATGAGTAGGAGTCAGCCAGTTAAACAAGGGGTATGGAGTGTGCAAATGTCTCATGAAAAGCAAACAGCACTGGCACATGAAGCAGGAAAAGGCCAAGAGAGCTGTAGGAAGAAAAAGGAGAGATGAACTTAGAAGAAAAGAAACAAATCACACAGGTCTTAGAAAGCAAGGGCTTTACAATCGTGTCTATTAGAATTACCTGGGGAACTTAAAACAGATGTCTGGGCTCCATCTCAGACCAATTAAACCAGAATCTCCAGGAATGAGACTCTGGCACTGATATTTTTAAAAAGCTAACTAGATGATTCTAGTATGTGGCCAGGATCAAAAACCACTGTTTAAGTTATAGGGGAATTAAACACATCCATTTATTACTACAAATAAGGGAAAAGGTGATCTATGGGCTCTAGTTTCTTTATCCATAAAAAAGCAGGCTGGAAAAAAAAAAGCAGGCTGGAGCAAGTTAGAGGTAACATAATAAAACGAAAGGAGTCACAAAGCATTCATTTTGTCAATGAGTCTGTCACCTGATACTTGCCTGACCTTAAATTAAAATGTCATTTCTCAGAGACAGTAATACTGCCTTCTCTACAGGATTGTTTTGTAGCTCAAGACAAACATACTTAAAAAAAAAACAGCTCAATAACTATACTAATATAAAACTTGATTTCCCAAGATTTATGCTTCTAAACTTGCACAAATTTAAATATCATAAATATTTTCAGAGATAAAATCTTTTATGATGCTTAAGAAACACATTTCATTTACAGAATCACCCCTCCCTTGAAATTCAAGATATTTAAATAATAAAATAGAGAAGTGATCCTTTTAATGCTATTTTTGTTGCTAAAGAGATCAAACGGGATTAAGTTAGCCCTTTTCAAATAAACAGATCAACAGAGCAAATGCCTTTTAAATGGTAATAGTAAATGTTAAAAATTCTTAATTCAATAAAGGAAACAAGTGAACTCTTTTAGGAAATGTATGACCTATCATCATTTAAGTATTTTACTTGTAAGTTTACCTTTTTTTTTAAAGGCAATACTTATTTGGGATGGAGAGGATCTTATCCTGACAGGAAGGAAGCTCTGCTTTAAGAAGGGTTGTTCCATCCAAAGCCAGGCAAAGCTATTGCTCTTTTACAGTCCTCCTTTCACATATATCTAGCCCATGAGAAGATACACTTTCACGCAGTAATTTTTGGGTTTACAGCATTTGTATTTAGTGACATCTCCTTAATGCTATATCTAATTTACTTAAAATTGAGGAAAAAAAAACTTTAGACATATAAAAACACTGTTCTGCATTTATATGTGGTTCATATTTAATTCTTGAACTAAAACTGATAGGAATGTCTTTCAAACTTTATATTCATAAAGTCAATGATAAAATACTAAGTTAATATTCATTCATTTTCTTTTTATTTCCCCCATGATGCTATGACTGTTACCATGTGCTATCACTTCTTTCAATCATCTATTTCGTGATTTTAACAGGAAAGCACTCTATTTTACAATGATGGAAAAACCTGTAAGAAACTTTTGAAAAAAGTTACGGATGAAATTTAATTTTATCCAAAAAGGTGAGATGAGAAAACTCAGAAAGCCAAACAAAATACCCCTCCTCCCCCCCACACACCCCCACTGGGCCCTCTTCAGATAATTTTGGCTGATGACACTGCAGAACAGTTAATCTGATAATTAAAATTTTCCAGAACATGTGATATTTAGATAGAGATCTATGCTGTCAACCAGAATTCAATGATTCAGTCTTAAAAAATGTTAAAACTTGAATACAGACATATTAACAAATTTTTACACTACAGTTGCTTCTAGGATCCATTAATAAGGACGTGCTGTAATTTACAGAAATTAAATTAGTAACGTGGTATCTTAAGCATTTTGTAGGTATTCCCTTAACAACACGCAATCCAGTACATAAACAAATTTTGTACAGTGCAATTTAAGCAAATACCCAGAGAACCCAGCTTCTGAGCAGAAAAACATGCGACCGCTATTGCCCACAGTGGTTCAAATGTGGCCATGGTAAATTACCCGATGACTTGAGTTAACAGAAGTTTACCTACCCAAGTTTTCCAAGGGGTTCTCCCAGGCCTCACAAACTACGATCAAAACATCATCTCGCAAACCCATGTCCTGCATGTGCCCAAAGGCGCAGTGCTGGAATGAGGAAGCGTCACCAAACGGAATCACAACTCTACTTCATTAAAGAATATGCAGGCTCTTTTCACAGAAGCCCCTCTTACTGCGCTCCCCTTACTCTTTATGACTACGTAAACAGCTTCCCAATTACTGTCAGCCAAAACAGCTTTCGATTTCTAAGTCTGGTAACTAGCCACCATCACCACTATTCCTTTAGCATCCTAAAATAAACCCCTCAAGCCGCGATCAAAACACACTGGCTGAACGTCTGGTGTTTACACAGTCCAATTCTGGGCGCTACCCTACCTTTCCGAGCCACTTAGGAGCTATGAAGCAGGCATCACATATTAGACTTACTAAAGACACAATTGCGAGACAATGTCTCAGGTCTATGAATGAAAGATCCAATACGTTTGATTGTCTCGGTTAAAAGGAAAAAAACAACTTCGAGAGGAAGGGTGGGAGAGGAACCGCGGTAGCCTTCCAAGCCCCAGCCGGGCGATTTAAACTCAGTATGAGGCAAACCGCAGGGTCGCCGGGCTGGCGCGGTCGGAGTCCTCGGGCGTGACAGCCCCTCAGGAAGAGCTCGCGGTTTGGCACCCGCGATCGCTCACGCCGCGGTGCTCGCGGGTCGGGTGGATGTGCAAGGGCGCGGGGGACCGAGCCACCGCAGCCGGGGCGGCGGCCCTGGGCGCACTTCCTCAGTCTCTAGCCGCCCCATCCCCAAAAATGGGAGAGGAAGGAAACGAGGAACGAGGCGGCGGTCAGAGGGAGAAAAGAGGGAGCGGCGAGCCCTCGCCTCTGCATCTGGGTGAGGCCAGCGGCAGGCGGAGGAGAGCGGGGATCGCAGGCGAACTCTGCTGCGGGCCGAAGCTGGGAGAGACGACCGGCGGGCAGCCCCCGCCCAAGACGGCGGGCGCGCCCGAGAGTCCCCGGCACCCACCCGGCCCCATCCCGACCGCTCCCGCTCCCGGCCTGTCCGCGTTCTACTCACGCTCGGGGATCCTCGAGGCTCCGCGGCTCTAACCGCATCGGGTCCCAGCCCCGCGGGCGGCGGCGGCGGCGGCGCCGAGGGAGAGGAGAGCGGGCGGCACAGCCCCCGCCTCCCGGCCCCTCTCCCCCGCCGCTCCGGAGCTGCCCGGCCGGGCCCGAGCCCTGCCTCGCCGGCGGCCCCAGCCCCAGCGGCCGCGGCGGCAGCAGCCCGAGACCTCAGCGGCCGCAGCGGCGGCACCGGAACTGCCGCTTTCTCCTTCTCGCTGCCTCTCCTATCTAGCCCCCGCCACACGCCCCCGCCCCCGTCTCCTTTCTCTGTCACCCCTGTTTTTTTTTTTCTTTTGTTTCCAGAATAAACTTTATTGGTCTCTTTTTCCGCTCACATCGTGTAAACAAACAACGAACTCTTCCCCACCCCCTCGACTCCCCCCTCCTCGGGCAGAGGAGGGTAAGAGCTGAGGAGGGGCCGAGCCTACTATGCCCCGGAAGCAGAGGGACAAACGAGAGGAAGTGAAACTGCGGAGACCAGGAGGGGGAAGTGGGCAAATCGGGTGACAGTGTGCCAGTGCGCCTGCGCCTTGGTTTTGTGCCCGAAGTTTGAGTGGCTTTGTGGCTCATTTTCCTGCTGCGCTGGTATTTAATGCTGTTGTCTTTTGCAGTGGTGAGGATGTTTTGTCATCCTGTGGAGGCATAGGTGTCGTACGAGCAGCAGGGATGCGCCTATGTGTTTCTACGAGCTGTAGGGCTGGGTTGCGATATAGAAAGGCAAATCGGGAGCTAGCGGGTCCATTCACTTTTACGCCCATAGAGGAAATAAGATTTACTCTCGTATAGGGGCGAGGGGAGGGGATGTAGTGGCTAACCGCCTCTGTCAGTGGCTAACCAGAAATGGATATCGATACTAGAAAGAAGGCCTTTTACAAAACGTTGCTTCGCGTCCTTTTGCCAACGTAAGGTTAAGTTGTAGCCCATCCCGAAAGAGGAATGCACTGCCACAGCCCTCTGCAATACTTTGACTCACTCAGGGAGACCTTTTGCAATGTCCTTTTTTTCAGATCTGAATCAGCTTGTAGGATTCCATTCTGACTATTCAGAACACGTGCTTTTTTCGCGTAGTGCCCACGGAGACTTTAGAAAAACCATTTTGGTTCTAGAGTAGATGCAGGGTGGTGGTTTGATACTGCGTACCACAGAAGCTTCTTTTTGCTGGAGAGTAACAGGATCTGTTATGTTTTGAGATCACTACTGATAAGGGTCAGGTTTTCGGCGTGTTTCTCCCCCTAGTGGCCTTTCATTGCATTAAAAAGACGTAGGAACAGTGATTAGCAGAAATCTGCAATACAAGTCCTCAATGTAGGGCCCTCTCTTGCATTTTAAGGAGTAGAGGACTTGAAAGTGACCCGCCCTGGAGATGTTACAGTTCAGCTCGTCATTCAGTGCTGAAAGCTGACCGATAACCAGTTTTGCTCAAACACCACACATCCTCAACCAATCCTAAAAAAGAACCATTCCTTTATGTGGTCATAGTTTCATTTGACTGTGTTTCTGTATTTCCTGTGCTTTCTCTCTTTTCTTAAGCTCTGGTTTTCATCTCATATTTCAAGGGTCTAAGTTTCTAAATATTTTTCTTGAACCAGTGTTTTTCAGCACTTTTCAGAACACTGTGTTACTCAAGAGAAAGGAATTTAAACAAACAAAAAAAAGCAATGATATTGAATTACTGGTCAAAGGAAGCCTTAAGGCAGCATTTCCCAAATTTGTGTTCCCAGGCCCAGAGTTTAGTGAGATCTTAATAGGTGGTCCTTAGTGGGGATAAATTACGGTAAATACATGTTTTTTCTAAAATTTATTTTAATAGATGGTACATGCATTATGTGATTTTTGTTATGTGATAATCTGCCTTTTGGGCTTCCCTGATACCTCAGTTGGTAAAGAATCCGCCTGCAATGCAGGAGACATTGGTTAGATTCCTTGGTCAGGAAAATCCACTTGAGAAGGGATAGGCTACCCACTCCAGTATTCTTGAGCTTCCCTGTGGCTCAAGTGGTGAAGAGTCTACTTGCAATGCGGGAAACCTGGTTTCTATCCCTGGGTTAGCAAGATCCCCTGGAGACCAGAAAGGCTACTCTTTCCAGTATTCTGGCCTGGAGAATTCCATGGACTGTATAGTGCATGGGGTCACAAGGAGTCTGACACAACTGAGCGACTTTCACTTTCTTCAGCTTTTCAATCTGCCTTTAAGAAATCACGTGCCACAACATGTGGCATGCTTCCCCAGGTGGCGCTAGTGGTAAAGAACCTGCCTGCCAGTGCAGGAAACTTAAGAGACTCAGGTTCCATCCCTGAGTAGGGGAGATCCCCTGGAGGAAGACATGGCAATCCAGTCCAGTATTCTTGCCTGAAGAATCACATCGCAGAGGAGCCTGGTGGACTGCAGTCCACGGGGTCGCAAAGAGTCAGACACGACTAAAGCAACTTAGAACGCATGCAGGTCACAACAGAAAATGTCATACCTCGTACTTGTATGATTACTCAATGGTACAGGATTAACATTTACTGCTGAATTCACAATTGCTGTATTTGGTTTATATGGTGACCATTGATATGTTGTCTGCTTTATCTTGCTTCTGAAGGTATCTGCACTGTTCTTCAGTGTTTATGTTAGGCCTCTATATGATGAAATGTGTTGCTTAAGGTCCTGAGACTGAAAGAAGAATGTTTTACAGGAAAAATTGAAATTGTGATACTCAGGCTGTAAGACAAACAAAAAATGGAATACTTTAGAATTAAAGAGCTGTTTTCTAAAGTCAAGAGGTAGAATGTCCACGGTGACACAGTTCCATTCTAACACATTGGAGGTATTTAATAATAGTTACTTGCCTTTTGGATTTATTTCTATTGAAAATAAAGATAACTGATACTCAAATGTGTATTGTGCCCTGAAACATACTCTGTAACAAACACTGAAATTACAACTAAGCTTTGAAGTCATTTGGAAACAAGAGTCAACTTGATTATGAAGCAGTATACTCTGGATTTATAAAATTGCCAAGTCAAACAATAAAAACACACCAAAGGAAGACGAAAATGAACTGTCATGTAGCACTTACTAGTTTGGTTATGACCAGTAAACATACTTTTAAGATTTCAGTTCTTTTCTATTTGTTAAGGTTTATTTTGCCTGAGTATCTTAGTAATTGTCCTTTTGTTGCTTACTCACTAAGTAGTGTCTGACTCTTTGCGACTCCATGGACTGCAGTATGTCAGCCTTCCCTGTCTTTAACTATCTGGGAATTTGCTCAAATTCATGTCCATTGAGTCAGCGATACTATCCAGCCATCTCATCCTCCATTGCCCCCTTCTCCTCCTGCCCTCAATCTTTCCCAGCATCAGGGTCTTTTTCAATGAGGCGGTTCTTTGCACCAGGTCGCCAAAGTATTGGAGCTTCAACTTCAGCATCTGTCCTTCCAGTGAATATTAAGGGTTTGATTTCATTTAGGATTGACTGGTTTGATCTCCTTGCTGTCCAAGGGATTCTCAAGAGTCTTCTCCAGCACTGTAGTTCAAAGGCATCAATTCTTCAGCCACCTTCTTTATGGTACAATTCTCAAATCTGTACATGACTACTGGAAAAACCATAGTTTTGACTATATGGACTTTGTTGGCAAAGTGATGTCTGTGTTTTTTAATATGATGTCTAGGTTTGTCATAGCTTTTCATTCAAGAAGCAAGTATCTTTTAATTTCATGCCTGAAGGCACCATCCACAGTGATTTTGGAGCCCAAGAAAATAAAATCTGCCACTGTTTCCATTTTTCCCCCATCAATTTACCATGAAGTGTTGGGACCAGATGCCATGATCTTCGTTTTTTTGAATGTTTTTAAGCCAGCTTTTTTGCTTTCCTCTTTCAGTTTCATCAAGAGGCTCTTCAGTTCCTCTTCTCTTTCTGCCATTATGGTGGTGTCGTTTGCATATCTGAGGCTGCTGATATTTCCCCTGGCAATCTTGATTCCTGCTTGTGATTCTTCCAGCCTGGCATTTCACATGATGTACTCTACATCTAAGTTAAATAAGAAGGGTGACAATGTACAGTCTTGACATACTTCTTTCCCAATTTTGTACCAGTCAGTTATTCCATGTCTGGTTCTAACTGTTGTTTCTTGATCTGCACACAAGTTTGAACCCCTATGATAGAACATTTTATGTGTGTTATTGGGTGCAATGTGCTATGTCAGTCATGGCAAGTTGGTTGATAATGTTAGGTCTTCTGTATCCTTACTGGATTTCTGCAGTAGTTCTATCAGTTTCTGGGAGAAGAGCATTGATGTCTTCGGCTATAATTGTGGCTTTGTCTATTTCTCCTTTCGCTTCTGTGTATTTTTGCTTTACATATCTTAAAGCTCTGTTGTTGGCTGTACACACATTTGGACTTATGTGTTTTTGATGAATTGACTCTTTTTATCATTATGTACTATCTTAACCCCTTGTAATATCCCTGATCTGAGGTCTATTTTTTTCTAATATTAATGTAACCACTCCACATTCTTTGGTTAGTATTTGCATGATATATATTTCCTATCTTTTATTTATCTATATTGTTATATTTAAAATGAATTACTTGTAGACAACACATCAGTCTCTTTTTAATCCAATCCAGTCTGACAATCACTGTAATTTCTGTATTTAGATTATTTACATTTAATATTAATATAATTGTTGATAAGATTGCATTTAGGCCTACTATTTTGTTGTTTATTTTCTTTTTGTTCTCTATTTTTTTCTATTCCTACTTTCCTACCTTTTTATGGATTATTTGCATATTTTTAATAGTACATTTTAATTAATTGGTATATTGCCTTTTTGGATATATCTCTTTGTATTTTTTTTTAAGAGTTGCTCTGTGGCTTACAATATATATACATAAGCTTTCACAGTCTAATGAGTGTATTACATCACTTAAAATAAAATGTGGAATGACTCCTTGTAGTCACATAGGTCCCTCTTTGTCCCACTCACTGATTTTTAAGGTAAAG